GTGCTGCACTCATGTGGGAGACCTGGAAGAAGCTCCAGGCTCCTAACTTCATACCAGCCATGTGGCCATTTAGGAAGTGAACCAGCGAATGGAAAATCTCTCCCTCTCTAACTCTACCTTTCAAATATATAAATAAATCTAAAAAGAGGGAAAAAAATGAAAACAAAAAATGCACTTTAAAATATTTAAATGCATATGCCTTTTTAAAAAAAGTCTGAGAGTCTAGCTCAGAAATAACTGACTGTCTGAGAAATACAGTCTGTCAGGTTTCGGTGCTGGATGTGAGTTCTGAGGAGGGGAGAAGTCTGGAGTGGTTCCCGGGTTTCTGTTGTCATCAGCCGGAGGACCAGTGATGTAGCTGAGCAGTAGTTCTAGGTAACGGTGGACGCTCCTGCTGGAATGTAGAAAGGCTAGCTCTGAGAATGTTAAGTTTAAGATTACATGTAAAAATTGTACATCTGAGACACAAGCAGAAATGTCAGGTGGGCTGTTACAAACTCAAGGAGAAGATAAAGAATGTGATAATTAAATATATGACAGATTTTTACCCCGCAAGTGAGTACACAGTGAAGACAAAGGCCTAGGCCAAAATCTCAGAGCAGTAGAATAATATTGTCCCCAAAAGAGGGAACACTTTATGTGCTATTGACACAGGGACTAGAAAATTTCAACTGGGTTTCATCAAAAAAAAAAAAAGTTCTCTGCTGATCTTGGCAAGAAGAGCTTCCTTGGGTTGTTTCACTAACACATTGAAGTGAGTTGAGGTTTAAATGTAGAAGAGAGCAGTTCCCACTAACTTTAAAATAGTTGTGTGTGAACTGCCCAAGGGAAAAAAGGCCATTAACCGATGCACACGAAAGGTTTGGAGATAATTTGTTTTTTAAGATAGGTAAAGGTTGGAGATGGATGCCAACAGAAAGCAGTGGGGAGGGAAAGGATCCAGAGCACACGAGAAGGGATCCTCTGATGCAGGTCGTTGCCTTGGTGTTAACCAGAAGTTGGGGGGCTTCTGTCTGCTGGTCTCTGTTTCTCTACAAACTAAAAGGTAAAACTGTACAGCATGGGAAGGGGAAGAGCCCCAGTTTTGCACAGCTAATTTAAAATAGCTGTTGGAAGGAACCAATGAGAGCTGGCTGGGAAGACACAGGATGGCAGACGCAGCACTGAGGGCCAAGGTGATGTAAACCAGCATGTCTGTGCGGCATCCTGGAGCACTCAGTGCTGGTTTCACTTCCTCCCATTTCTCGGGGGCTGCCCAGCAGGTCATGCAATGGTGTGGAGAAAACAGGTAGGTTCTTCAACAGGTGCAGCATTTCCAGACAGGTGGACAGAGTAACTGTGGGCGAGCTACTGAAAATCAGTGGGAGAGTTAGGCAAGTGATAAGCAACTAAAGAAATCCAAGCTGAACTGGATAGAAAGATCTGTGTACTGGGCATTGCAGTATTGCAAAACAATCAGTGTTTTAGGGACAGGTGAAGGCCAGGAAGTAAAAGGGACATGAAGTTAAAAGTGGAAGCTTCAGGCAGGCCGGTGCCGCGGCTCACTAGGCTAATCCTCTGCCTGTGGCGCCGGCACTCCGGCTTCTAGTCCCGGTTGGGGCACCGGATTCTGTCCCAGTTGCTCCTCTTCCAGGCCAGCTCTCTGCTGTGGCCCAGGAAGGCAGTGGAGGATGGCCCGGGTCCTTGGGTCGTGCACCGCATGGGAGACCAGGGGGAAGCACCTGGCTCCTGGCTTCGGATCAGTGCAGTGTACCAGCTGCAGCGGCCATTGGGGGGTGGACCAATGGCAAAGGAAGACCTTTCTCTCTGTCTCTCTCTCTCTTTCACTGTCCACTCTGCCTGTCCAAAAAAAGAAAAAAAAGTGGAAGCTGCATAAGTATTCATGAAGTATGGAATATGATTCCATGAGGAAGGTGGGATCAGAACAGCGGTGGGAAATGGGTCCACATACGCTGGGGCTGAGAGTTGGGAATGATAGAGCTGGTGCTGAGTGTCTTGGACACTGAGCAACACTGATTGAAAAGTGCAGCATGACCGATTTAGCTGGTCTTGAGCTTGTGAGCTAATCACCCTCAAGTTTCTATGGAATTCAGTTATGAGTTGGGTGGGAAACAGTTCATAGGAAGTCAGATTTCTGGTGCAGTGAAGAGACCAGTCCCTCTGAAAGAAGTTGGCTCAGGTCTGCATTAATAAAATGCACAAAAAGATTCTTAAGGTTCAAGTTCATAGAGACTATAGATATAGGAAGTGTTCCAAAATCAAGGAACTATCTAGGAAGATACTAAGACTGTAGCTTAAAGGAGATCTGGTATCTAAACGATGTGAGAGTCAGGAACAGGTTTCATTGTGGAATTAGATTTTCCCTTGTTCTGTAATTTATCCCTTGGCTTTATCTTGTCTCAACGCACCATTGATCCCAGTAGACATTCCTATTTCTGTGGATACGCAGTGCCAGCACAGCTGAGCCGAGAGACTGTGGGTCAGGGCCTCTCACAGCCACACACATCTCAGCGCTTCCCTGGGAACAGTCGGCTTCTGAGCTCGCTGGCTGGTTCGGGCAGGCCCCACGTCCTCAGTACCTGTGGGCCTGAAACATCAGTTCTGTGCCACGTGGGCCTCCCACAAGAGGGAAGTCGCAGTCTCTAACCTCTCCAACACTGTTGACTAGAAGCCAAGCCTTACATCTAGCACAGACTCCACAGGACGTTTTGAGTACCACGAGCAGGGGCCCTGGGAGCTCTCTTCAGAGGCTGCCTGCAAACAGAAGCAGTTTAGTATTCCTAAAGAGAGTGTGTCTGCTTCCTGCAGTCATTCCCTTCTACCACAGTCCGAGAGACTTGCCAGGTATACCCCAAAAACACCCCTAACTATTCTGCCCTGAGCTTAGTCTCTCAAAGCTGATCCTGTAGATGCCTCCTGAGCTCCTTATCTCCAGATCTCTTTGTGGTTACACAGACACAACGCCATGTGCCTCTGCCTCAGGTGTCCTCTCACTGATCCCCCTCATCCTTTTTATTGGCTAAATTCTCCTCTTGGTTCAAATCCAGAGTCAGATGCTGCTTTTTCCAGAACACAGCCATTGAGCTCCAGATCCGGACTGTGTGGTGAGGGTAGGAACTTGTTGTTGCACGATCCCTAGTGACCAGTGCACCATGTAGAACGTGGCATGAGCTCAGGTGTGCTGTGGTTGCATATGGAAGACCATTCGAGAAGCATTCAGGAGCTGGTAGCAGTGGGGAGAGAAGGAAGATGAGTTTTTCCTCACTGTCCCTTCTCCCTGCCTATTCCCAGTTGAGAAATATCCCTAAAGGATTAATGAGCATGAAGACCCTACCCCCACAGAGGGAGAGAAGATGAGAATGACATTCTTCATCCAACCTAGATTTCCCTGTGTGGGTGTGAAGGCATGCAAAGTCATGCTTTTAAAAGAGGGAACCGTTAAAACATAGCTGTCAAGTTAGGATTTTTTTTTAATCAACTTTGAGGAAAGGTTAAGTATATAGTTGAATGTGGTTTGACAATTGCAGTCTTCTCTTAAAAATGCTGTTACGAATGAATATCCAAAAAAAGCTTTCGTGGACCCATTAAGAAACCCTAATCTTGGCCTATAATGTGATTTCATGGAGGTTCTAAGCAGCTTTCTTGAAAATGAACGTTGAAGGACAATGTTGTGTCACAGTAGGTTAAGCCCACATTCCATATCAGAATGCCCACTCCCGCTCCCGATTCCAGCTTCCTGCTGATGTACACCCTGGGAGGCAGTGTGATGGCTCAAGTGGTTGGGTCCCCGCCACTCACATTTGAGATCTAGATTGCACTTCTGGCTCCCAGGTCCAGTGTGGCCAAGCCCTGGCTGTTACAGGCATTTAGAGAGAGAACCAGCAGTAGCAACTATGTGTGCTTGCTGAGCCACAGGGCTTTGGGCAGGAAAATGGCACAAGGAGAATTGTGTCTTTTAAAGAATGTGGAAGACAGGGAGGAGAGGGCACAGGCAGGAAGTTGAGGAGAAGATACCTCTGATACCCTCGCTGCCTTGTAAATGAATAAACAATAATGTGTGTAAAATGACACAGTCGTTTATTGCCCACCAAACACTTTGTCCTCCATCCAAATTAAGCTGGCACATGTGCTTCCCGCATGTAGACCCTTGTACTAGTCTCAGGGGCCTGCAACCAAAATGCTAGGTCTGCCTTAAGTGTCATTTATGTTATGTGACCCTTAATAACCCCAAGTGTAGGTAGTTAATTCTTTTCTCTCAATGTTTTACTTATTTTTATCTATCTGAAAGGCAGACAGGGATCTCTCCTCTACTGGTTTACTCCCTAAATGCTCACAAAAGCTAGGGCTGGGCCACACCAAAGCCCCCAAAATTCCAAACAGGTCTCCATGTGGGTAGCAGGGACCCAAGTACTTGACCCATAACCTGCTGCCTCCCAGGATCTGAATTAGCAGAAAGCTGGATCAAAAGTGGAGTGGAGACTTGAACTCAGGCACTTCAGTATGCAATGCAGGCATTCCAGGCAGTGTCTTCCACGCTGCAGCAACACCTGCCTCTCCTTAGTATTTTCCACATTCTTTACTGTGGCGCTTACATTGCACTGCGTTTGTTTATTTGTCATGTCTTTCTCCAACAGATGCTTCAAGCAGTCCTCTCTAAATGAAATCTCTAAGTAAGATCTTGGAGAACTTTTCCTGTACCAAATTCACACTTGACTTTTGGGCAGTTGCTTCGTTGCTTTCCATCAGTCAGCTTCTGGGTTCATTTATTTTAACCTGTGGAAAAACATGATTAGAATATCGTCCACGTTTACTCACTCCCACATTGTAGTTTAATTCTCTTATGTGTTTATAGTTAAAAGTATTTATTTTTGACTAGTTGTAACAGTCATACTTACAATGATACATTTAGTTTTTTGCCCTAAAGACAGTTCGTCTGGAGTACCTTCACATACAGTTTTCTCTGTTTATATCATACTAGCTATGATTTGCTTAATTTCTAGGGTTCAGCCACACGGATGGACCACGAAACAGCCAGTGTTTTGAGCTCAAGTAGCACACACTCTGCTCCTCGAAGGCTGACAAGCCACCTGGGCACCAAGGTAACCAAACATTAAAAACCCTAGCAACTCAGACTGCGAACACTGCTAAGACATTCTTTATGATACTAAAATATATTTTTTTTAATTATTTATTTAAAAGTCAGAGCTATAAAGAGAGAGGTGAGACAGAGAGAAATCTTCCATCCACTGGTTCACCCTCACAAATGGCCACAACAGCCAGGGCTAGGCCAGGCTGAAGCTGGGAGCCAGGAGCTTCCTCTAGGTCTCCCCCTTGCGTGCAAGTGCCCAAGGACTTGGGCCATCTTCTGCTGCTTCCCCAGGCACGTTTTCTTATGTACTTCTTACGTGTTTTCTGAGCTGGATCAGAAGCGGAACAGTATTTATTTACTTACTTGAAAGAGAAGGAAAGACAGAGATCTTCCATTTGCTGGTTCACTCCCTAGATGACAGCAAGTCCAGGCAGAAATCAGGAGCCTCATCCAGGTCTCCCATGTGGGTAACAGGGACCCAGACACCTGGGCCACACAGTTCTGTTCCACCCAGACCACCTGGGAGCTGGATCAAGAGGAACAGCCGGCACACAAACCAGGGTCCACATGGGACACTGGCGTTGGTGTCACAGATGGCCTTACCTGCTATGCCACTACTCCAACCCCTCAAAAATCTCTTAAAGAAATAGCATCTAGGGCCGGCGCCGTGGCTCACTAGGCTAATCCTCCACCTGTGGCACCGGCACCCCGGGTTCTAGTCCCGGTTGGGGCGCTGGATTCTGTCCCGGTTGCTTCTCTTCCAGTCCAGCTCTCTGCTGTGGCCCGGGAGTACAGTGGAGGATGGCCCAGATCCTTGGGCCCTGCACCCTCATGGGAGACCAGGAGAAGCACCTGGCTCCTGGCTTTGGATCAGCGCAGTGCTCCGGATGCAATGCGCCGGCCGTAGCAGCCACTTGGGGGTGAACCAATGGAAAAAGGAAGACCTTTCTCTCTGTCTCTCTCTCACTGTCTAACTCTGCCTGTCAAAAAAATAAATAAATAAAATTTAAAAAAAATAAATAGCATCTAATACAAAGAAGCATAACATGAAAAATAAGGACTATAAACTCCAAATTGGTTTGTTTTTAATTCATTTTAAGCCTATCCACTTCCCCGCAAGTGCCCTAAACTCCAGCCAAACTGGCTCAATTGCTGCCTGGTGAGTGCTGCTGTGACTGTAGCCTCTGGGCCTGTTGACAGACGCGCCTGCCCCTTTTTCCCCACCACAAGGGACTGCCAGAATCCCAGCTGGACCTCAGAACTCTTCCTGGGTTCTTCACAAAATATTTTCTGCCATCCCTCTGTAGCCCCCTAAGCCTCCCTTAAATCACTACCAGTCAGCATGAAACACTCCTCTGGAAAAACAGGGACTGTTCTTTGTCTCTCTTGCAGCATCAGGTACAGAGCCCACAGGGTTTCTGTTATGAATTGAAACGGATGGAAAAACGGTTGCAGTTGCAGTTGCAGTTGCAGTTGAATGTTACCGAACACTGCTGGCTGAGCTTTCTTAGGGTCCCTCGGGTGTTAACAGATATTTTAGGATTTGAAAATACTGTTTGAAAAGAAAATATTTTATTAGTATTTTAAAGTCAGAAGCTTTAATATCATGTTAACTGAGATGAAATTCTATGTTACTAAACAATATATTTTCCATTAAATCTAAATATTTTCACAGCATACTGTGTATCACTTCTTTTCTTTTTTTTAGATGTGTTTATTTAGTTGAAAGGTGGAGATACAGAAAGAGTAAGGCAGAGAGAGAGAGAGAGAGAGATCTTCCATCTGCCGGTCACTCCCCAGTGGCACAACAGCTGGGCCATGCTGAAGCCAGGAGCTTCACCCCAGTCTCTCACATGGGTGTAGGAGCCCAAGCACCTGCTGCTGCTTTCCCAGGTGCATCAGCAGGCAGCTGGATTGGAAGTAGAGCAGCTGAGATGTAAGCTGCACTCATGGGGTGCAGGCACTACAAGCGGAGGCTTAACCTTCTATGCCACAGCACCAGCCACTGTTTATATTCTTTCTTTACCCTAAATAATATAATAGCTCTTAGGAAATGCATTACTGAAATAATTAGTTGATTTTAGGAAATGAATTTTAGAGTAATTAATGATGTTGTTAATATGACATTTAATCTTTTTTATAATCCACAGTAATTGCTTGCTATCCTTTGTGTGCCAGGAACTTTGCCTGGAGTTGTATTACATGATCTCTGATCATTTCAAAACCTCTGTGCATATCCCTCTAAAGAGAAAGTGAAACATACACATACAAAAAAAGGTTCAGGCAGCACTTATGTAATTAAACTGAAATTTAACTCCAGATCTATCCAACATCAACACCTAGTTTTTACTAAAAGAAAATCTCCAGGATAGGCATTTGATTCAGGAGTTGGGTCACCACTTGGGATGGCCACATCCCATTTTGGAGTGCCTGGGTCAAGTCCCGACTGCTCTGCTTAGGATCCAGCTTCCTGCTGATGCATATCTTGGGAGGCAGCAGTTGACAGCTTGAATACTGGAGTCTCTGCCACTCACACAGGAGACCCAGATTGAATTCTAGGATTCCAGCTGGGGATTGACCCCCCCTGGCTGTTGTGGGCACATCTGGAGAGTGAATCAGTGAATGGAGCATATTTCTCTTTCTCGCATCTGTCTGTCACTTTGCCTCTTAAATAAAAAGCAAATAAATAAAAATTTGAAAATAAATCTTTGGCAGCAGGCATTTGGCACACCAGTGAAGGTGCCCTTGGGACACCTTTATCCCATATTGGAGTGCTTGGATTCAAGTCCCAGCTGTGTTTCTGATTCCAGCTTCCTGCTACTACAGCCCTGGGAGGTGCAGATAGTTGGGTCCCTGCCACCCACATGAGAGACCAGGGTTGAATTCCCAGCTCCTGCTTCAGCAATCCCAGATGTTGTGGACATTTAGGGAGTGAATCAGCAGAAAGAACAGATGGGAGATATCTCTTTGTCTCTGTCTCTCTCCCTCTCTCTGTCTCTACCTTTCAAATAACTATTTTTAAACATGTAAAAAAACTCTAATATTTAACAGTACTGTTGCATGAAAACTGACAATACCTTTTCCTTTTGAAGTGATTTATGCAGTACACTAAGACTTCACTAAGTATTTTGAATGTCAGTTACTGTCCTATATGGGTATTAATCTTCACGGAGAAAACCATATTACCTAGGTAAATCCCCGCATTTTTCAACTTAGAAAACCGCAGATCAGAGAAATTACGTCAGTTAGCTAGCATCACACAGTTTGTAAAGGAACCGAAATTTGAACCTGGTTTGATGAAAGCCTGCTGATCCACAGCCCAGTGCTGCTTCCAAAAACTGTTTCTTTTTTTTTTTTTTTTGACAGGCAGAGTGGACAGTGAGAGAGAGAGACAGAGAGAAAGGTCTTCCTTTGCCGTTGGTTCACCCTCCAATGGCCGCCACGGCCAGCGCACTGCGGCCGGCGCACCGCGCTGATCCGATGGCAGGAGCCAGGAGCCAGGTGCTTTTCCTGGTCTCCCATGGGGTGCAGGGCCCAAGCACCTGGGCCATCCTCCACTGCACTCCCTGGCCACAGCAGAGGGCTGGCCTGGAAGAGGGGCAACCGGGACAGAATCCGGCGCCCCAACCGGGACTAGAACCCGGTGTGCCGGCGCCGCTAGGCGGAGGATTAGCCTAGTGAGCCGCGGCGCCGGCCTCCAAAAACTGTTTCTAAAAGCATGCATGTGTTCGCCATTGAAAGCAGCACTTCTCAGCTCTGGGCTTGGGGTAATCCTTCCCTGCATCATCGTGGGATACTCTGCAGCCTGCTGGATCTCCACCCACCAAAAGCCCTAGCACTGCACCTGCAGTTGTAACAGTCAGAAACATGCCCAAGATACTGCTGAAGGTGTTAGAGGGGGATTGAGAACCACTGGTTTGTAGAGGTGATGGTTCTTTATGTCATAGCCTCTAGCTTTGAACTGAACCCATCTAGGATAATTGTGTAATTTCTTAGAATTTATTGTCAGAGTAATTGATGCTCACCAGTTGCCTTAAAAAATGACTACATATCTTAGCTTTGTCACTCTCTCTGTGATCATGGCTTTTTCTTTTTTATGACAAAAATTACTATGTATTTCAACATACTTTAATTAATGAAAATCAATGACTGCTGAGAATCAGTGTTTAGTGAAATACAATGTTACAGAAATGTTTTCTATATTGATTTTAATAATAGATTAGAAGAAGTAACATAAAATTTAAATTGTGTCAAGAATTTAACAAACCTCATTCTTCTTTGTGTGTGTGAAATCAGTTGAGACCCACTCATAGTTGCCACCACGTGATCCAGAGAACAGCAGTTCATGTCTTCTCTTCCAATAGTGTGTACCACTGCTGCTGTTCGCTCACAGCACAGATGGGTAATGATTTACACTTGAAATAGCACTTAATACTTCATGTTACTTCATCCTGGAAAGGTTTTGTTTTTTTGTTTTTGCTTATAATGAGTTACAATAGATGTTCCATTCATCACTTCAGTGCTGTTGGCTTTTGGATATTAAGGTCATAATTTTGTTTCTGCGCTCATTTGGCCCACAGGTGGAAATGGTGTATTCATTGTTGTCAATGCTTGGTACTCATGATAAGGATGATATGTCGCGAACTTTGCTGGCTATGTCTAGCTCCCAAGACAGCTGCATATCCATGCGACAGTCTGGATGTCTTCCTCTTCTCATCCAGCTTTTACATGGCAATGACAAAGACTCTGTATTATTGGGAAATTCCCGGGGCAGTAAGGAGGCTCGGGCCAGGGCCAGTGCAGCACTCCACAACATCATTCACTCACAGCCTGATGACAAGAGAGGCAGGCGTGAAATCCGAGTCCTTCATCTTTTGGAACAGATACGAGCTTACTGTGAAACCTGTTGGGAGTGGCAGGAAGCCCATGAACAAGGCATGGACCAGGACAAAAATCCAAGTACGTTCCTCGTGTGGTGTGCATCGTAGTGCATGTCTTAAAGCAAACGTAAAAGTTTTCTGACAGTTCTTTTTTAGTTAATGTGTGATCTTTATGAATAGGATGGGGAAATCCATATTAGCCACCCATGCTGCTAACGTATTTTTAAAAGCACGTTTTAGATCTGTATTTTCCTAGAAAAATTTAACATGCTCAACCAAAAAAGGACCAGAGCAGCAAATCATGTGGAGTACATAGCTAGGAGGGCTAGAGAATTTGAGCAGTCGTTGCCTGTCTCCTTCCTCATAGAGGAGGCTCAGTTTTTTGTTTTTTGTTTTTTTAAGTTCTTTTGGCTATTAACGACCAATCCAGAATCCTTTAACATCTGCATTTCAGCCCATTTAGGGGACACAGAGCTGTGATGTATCTGTGGTGCTCTTTGATCCTGACAACCTGTAAGAAGGGAGAGCATCGCTATCTCCATTTTACAGCTGAGGAAACTGAGGCTCAGGAAGGCTATCAGAGACCAGGCCTGCTGGCCCTGACTCCATGTTCTTCCTACAGCACCTTGCTCTGAGTGCTGAGGGTGATGAAACATCCCCCTCTGCTCAGGGAGAGACCCTTGGCCACCTGCCCCTCTCCCTCAAGAGTAGGGAACATGGAAGTTGGGGACCCTTGGGATGTAATTCCCTTCATCCCTGTAGCCAAGAAACAAAAGCAATAGGTATATCAGTTAAGGCCTTCCTTGACCTGGTAAGAGTTAACTAGCACTCTGTGTGTGTGTGTGTGTGTGTGTGTCTCACACACACACACAGACACGCAGATTACAGAGCAAGAGAAGGAGTGATAATGAGAACAGGACTAACTTGTGAAGCTACAGCAGATTTTTTTTAAGCTTGGATATAAAGATTAATTTATTTTAAAAAATCTAAAATATTTTAAGAAGAAAAGGAAAAAAAACAGATGATCCTTTCTCTGTCCAGGGCTGAGATGTTGTGCTGGGAGAGCATTGCCTGTCTGGCTCCTTGCGGTTATGAAAATCACCTGTATTTTGAACTCTTGAGAATAGCTTAATATTACTTCTGAAAATTTATTTTAAAATTTATGTCAAATAATGAGTTTTTAACTTTTGTGTGTATTATATGTGGAAGTACATTTTCTTGGACACCTTTTTCTGTAAACTTCTGTTTACTTTCTAATTTATATATATAGTAAGCTTTCTCTGCTAGGGATCATATTTGTACACATTTCTTGTAACCTACATATGTGACAATAGCTTAAATAGAAATTATAAGCAATTTTATACCAGAATATTTTTTCTTTCAGATAGTCAACATAATTTTAAGTTATTAATTACTTGAGTTATAGTATGAACCTGTAAGGCACTTAATCTAACAGACTTGATCAAGGGCAGATGAGCAGTAAACATTTGAATGAAACCAAGAGAAGCTCTTCACTCATATTTTGTATTGTAGTATTGATTCATCCATTCTGCAAACATTTGTTGATCCACCAAATTTCTGTGTATTTGGGATATACTGGTGATCTCTGTATATTTTTGAAGCATAATAAACATTATTGCTTTTGAGAAAAACAAAATGTTACTGTTTATGTCGACTTTATTTTTCAGTGCCAGCCCCTGTCGAGCATCAGATCTGTCCTGCCGTGTGTGTTCTGATGAAACTTTCATTTGATGAGGAGCACAGACATGCAATGAATGAACTTGGTAAGACAGAGTGTCTCAACGCCACATGCAGAAGTGGATTTTAAGTCATGGTAGAAATTCAGTGTAGTAAATGAAGGTTTCCAGTTGTTGATGAATGGAGAGATAGGGCCTCTCACTTCTATTACCAGCTTCTCCTTCCCTGTAATTAAAAAATTGGACCCTGGTCTCCATGAGACAGAGTCCTGAACCACAGAAACTGCTGCCCTGTTTAGAAGTGGCTGGCTTCTCAAAGTCTTAGCCAAAGACTGAGAAGTCACTCCTTTCCCTGTTGCCAAGGGTAGATGTGTTGGGAGGGGGTGTGAGGTGCTGCTTCATTGGCTCTTGAACCCTGACTTTTGATGAGCACTAGAAAGAATTAGGTTAACATTCTCGTCTCTTGAGGGCTATCAGTACCTTACTGGGCTTCCAGCATAAGCTGCATGCTGTCTTTGAAACTGATTAATATAGAAAAACATGATGCTGTAATTTAAGCTAGAAACATTTCATTGACTTTGTCAGTTCCTTCTTTTGTTGTGTATTATCACACACCATAAACTTTATTTAACCTGCATTTGTGCACCCCATTTTTCATGTAATGGTTTTTCTTTGATTTCTAGGTTCATTTTTGCACATGTGGTATTTATAAATTGCATCGTGCTGAGCCTTCTCATGTGAACTGGATCTCTCCAGTCGTGCCACAAGCAAGAACCATACACTGAGTGCCCGCCTCAGTGTAACTGCACCCTTGCTTTTGTCTGTTTTTGTTAACATTCCATTCCAGCTCCCACTTCATATTCCTTCCACCCTCAGCATTGTCATTGATCACGTACCTTAAAAGCGTTAAGTCATGAGACTTGAACACAGAGAACCTGAGTATCTGGAAAGAGTGTTGTCTCCTTCAGAGTCATCCCCGTGGGAGGCACTGCACTGAGAGGTTTTAGGTCTGCCCACCAGACACTCCTGGGCGCCTGGTTATCCCACATGGCTCTCTCTCCTTCCCCGACCTCCTGTGAAACTCAGCTAACCGTAGGCATTCTCCCCTTCTCAGTGCAGTCTCAGCAGTTGTGAAAATTTTAAGGTTTTTTTGTTGCTGTTGTGATGCTAACGGTAATGGGAAGAGAATAAAAGCAATAAACAAGAAAATGAATCCAATTTTTAAAAACTGCAAAGGCTTTTTTTTTAAATAAATGTTCCTGTGTTCCAATGGACTGTAGACTAGGACTGACACATTGATCATCTGAATTTCAAAATACAACCTAGACTCAGTATTTGTTCCTCTTCCTTCTTCAGGTAGGAAGGCTCCCCGGGGCATTTCATCACAGGAGCTAGGGCAGGGGCTTTCAGGTGAGGAGCAGGATGGGGCCTCGGGGGTGTGGCTGCTGGGGTAGCCACAGGGGATCACCTTCTTCTCACTCCTAGCCTCCAGGTTTGCACCGGGCAGAAGGAGGATTAAGGTGTGTGGGTCGCAGGGAGGTAGAATAAGGCAGTTCAGATCAGCATTAAGGGTCCAGGAGGAAAGAAGTCCCAGGTAGCAAAGGGAAGCTCTTCAGCCCAGTCAGCTGGAAGTGTCATTTGTACATATATGAAGATTTTTCAACCAGCAGTCATTTAATAATAGGTGCCTATTATTGGCAGGTTGTGACTATTATTGATAGTTTTAGACTATAATACCAGTGATGTGTTCTTACTGGTCTCCAGATCTGTCTCCTAAACTGTCCTTGCACTAGATTCTTGGAATGACGAGGACATGGTCCTGGCCTTTAAGGAGCTCCTGGTTCTGTTTGCATTAGTGTGTCATAAAACATCTAGATCCTCACCACCAGCAGAGGCCCTTGTCAGACCACAGAGGCTCTGGTCCTGGAGCAGTGTCGAGGCAGGGGCCTAAGGTTCATGTTCAGTAAGTGGTGGCCAGCGGCTCTCGTGATCGGGAAACTTGTGAAACATTCGTCTGCAGAAAGTTGAGGTTGGGCCCCTAATACTCATTCAGGCATTTCATGCTGATGAAATGCATTTCTAAACAAAAATAATACATATTTTTAAATAGATATCATCTGTCTATTATCATTTATAGGTACAAATCTAAATGAAATTTCTGTTGAATATCACCTGAGGCAATTGGTTCCCCATTGTCTCTGAGGCCACAAGATAACTATATTGGGTAATAATTCTTTTCCTGATGTAGGCACAAGAAAAGTGTGGAAGGACATGGTCATCACCCTTGTGTTGTTTTGAAACATCCTTGTTCTCTTAGGGCGGCCAGTTTTTTATTCTATCATGAATTTGCATCATATTTTAGTGAATCCATTTGTAGTTTTGAATTACATTCTTTGACTCAGAATTCACTAAATTGTTTTTCCTGAACTCTTAAAGCATTCTGTCTTTTACCTAATGTTCAGATGTTACTGAATGCTCTTTTTTCATTAACCATGCTCTTCATGGTTTTGTTGGCATCACAATATCCTTCTTTAATCTTTGGTTTCCAAATCAAGTTCTAAAATTTTTGTTTTTTTCTTACAAGAATACTCAATTGTTTGATCATAACATGCTTTCATGGGGCCTTCGTTTAGATGCATTTTGTCTTTCTTAAGGATGGGATCCCAGATTTTGCTACACGAGGCTGATATTTATGCAGACACAAAGCTTGGTTTGTTTGGTTTGGGTATTGATGCTGGCTCTGCAGTACCTGACTGGCTGTAGGTTTCCCCACGATGCTGGGCCACAGCCTTCAGGACTTGATGGACTCTGTCAATTTCCCGGGTCAGAATTCTCACTGCTTCTACTAACTCCTTGTCCTTTACCCATGTATAAAGTATTGGAACTTCTTGAAGCTCTGCCGTAGGCCCGCTCCTTGTCTCCCTCCCTCCCGTTGAGTCCTCCACTCCCACAGCTTCAGTTACTGTGCTGTTAGTGTTCAGTTCATGCTTTCAGAGTTATGTCTCAGTCCAAGTTCTCTGCTGAGTTTAGACGTATTATTGAACAGCTTTTTTGACACTTTCCCTGACATTATATCTCAGACACTCCTAACCCAACTGTCAACAAACTGGGTGTGTTACCTCCTCCTTCCCCAAATCTGTGTCTCTTCCAGGATTAACTTTTTTCAGAAACTGGTATCCTAACCAATCCAGTTTCTCAGGCCTAAATCTTAGACATATCTGTGACTCATTCCTTACCCTCTACATGTAGTATAGCTGAGGGTTTGAGTGCTTCATAATGGGTCTCAGATCACTGCTGTTGTCCAAGTCTCTGTCATCTCTCCTGTTCTGCAGTGCTTTGTCTTCCTTTTCTCCCCCCTTTGAATCATAGTTCATTCTGCACACTGTAACCTTAGTGGTCTATTTAGAATGCACCCCTAATTATTCCTTCCCCTGCCAGGTATCTTTACTGTGACACGTAGAATCGTTGGTGATCTAATGTCTGCCATAAATTCATCTTGTGGCCTCTCTTCTTTTACATTCCAAGCCCAGGGCCCTTGCACGTACTGTTTCCTCTGTGCAGAGTGCTTTTTTGTTCTTGCCTCTGCCTTTGGCAGACACTCATTTATCCTTTAACTATCAAAAATCAGTTCCTTGGACTTTTTCTTAGGACCCCCACTCTCCAGATTAGGGTAGGTCCACCTTTATCATCCTGTGCTTCTGCATAACCCATCACATTTTAACGAGTTGCTTGTCTAACTGGCTCCAGTCTGTAATTTCTATAAAGACAGTGACTTTGTTTTCTTCACTGCTTCTATATTTTTGTACCCTCACGGGTAGGTCAAAGAAGAAATTCTAAATAGGTTTGATTATTCTTTAGTAGTGTTGATTTTCACTTAACTGTATTCGAACTCACTCTCAATTCTGCTAGTCATAAAGATTTTGATGAATCTTCCTATAGTTAAATCCCTTGGCCTGGAATTCTTGATCCAAGATACAGCTGTATTTTGCAGCCTTATCAGTTCTTCTATATATGGATCCTTCCAGATTATCTATCAAATCAAAGCGTACTGGTTGTCTTCCAGGTGAATGACTTGTGCATACTGATAGTGCTCCAGGGTTGCCCATTTCTGTTCATCTTTTCTTTCTTTCTTTTTTTCTCTACTCTAAGCCCTTCTCTGTAACAAAATAACTTTCCAAGTCCCATGACGGTGGTTGTTTGATGATGACTAATGCTCTGAACAACTTCCATATCCATTATCTCTCTTGTTCGCTCCCCCACCATTTTACTTCACATTTTTTTTTAAATCCATTCCTTTTGTTTTTCCCTTTGCTTTCCTCCTTGCCTTCCTGGTATGGGCCCCATGAGCATTGTTGAGCACACCCAGAGCTGAGTGTCAGTGAAAAAAAAAAAGTAGCTCCTACTGTAGCTAGTATTTGCTACTTTCAAAGAAAAGTAAGAAACTTAGAAAACAGAAACAAGTAGTTTATGGTACTTAGTATTCAACACTAATTTTTTTTCACCCAGAAAATGAGATTTGTTACATGTACAGTTTCATTTCCAAATTTCAGTGTTCCTAAGGATAATTAGCAGATTAAAAAAGATATATTGATTCGGCCACAATATGTGATAATGAAGAACATTCATACAGTTCTAATTTTTAAAAAGACAAGTTGCCTTTCCCTCTTTAAATTCAGGAACCCCTAGTGTTAGGAAATAGGCTTCTCTGTTATTGGCAAGGTTCAGTGTGAATGCAGGAGTCATTTCAGCGAGCAAAGGGCTGGAGGGGGGAGCCACTGGCAGAAAAATAGAAGAGTGGACCCAAGTCCTTTCAACAGCTTTTGTGGCTTATAATTCAAGAGGCAAATATAAACAAATTCTCATTCTTTATAAGTTTGCTTATTTTTCCTAATCTGTAAGTAAGCAATTTGTTACTAACTTGTTTTATTTTAGAGTATTATCTTTTTCCTCTTACCCTTTTAAATTAGGGGGACTACAGGCCATTGCAGAATTATTGCAGGTGGACTGTGAAATGTATGGGCTTACTAATGACCACTACAGTATTACGTTACGACGATATGCTGGAATGGCCTTGACAAACTTGACTTTCGGAGATGTAGCCAACAAGGTACGCTCTTGTAAGATCCATTTCTTATCAGCTCGGGTATGAGTTAATTTACTTTCATAAAAATAGTTTTCACTGGTTTTCTTTTTCTCACTCTCCTTATTAAATAATAATTGATAACCCATACTTCAAACCTACTGCACATCCTTATGCATTTGTTGTCTTATGCCTAAGAAAGGGTGAGCACACAGTTGCAGATGAGCACAGTGTTGATTTTATTTGAGTGCATCAAAAACACCGTTCCTGGCCGACGCCGCGGCTCACTAGGCTAATCCTCCACCTGCGGCACTGGCATCCCGGTTCTAGTCCCAGTCGGGGAGCCGGATTCTGTCCTGGTCGCTCCTCTTCCTGTCCAGCTCTCTGCTGTGGCCCGGGAGTGCAGTGGAGGAGGGCCCAAGTGCTGGGGCTCTGCACCCTCATGGGAGACCAGGAGAAGCACCTGGCTCCTGCCTTTGGATCAGCGCAGTGGCCATTGAGGGGTGAACCAACGGGAAAAGGAAGACCTTTCTGTCTCTCTGTCTCTCTCTCTCTCACTGTCCACTCTGCCTGTCAAAAATAAAACACCATTCCTAGTTAAAAAGAACCCAAGTCTGGCCACGGCGACCGTCAGATGCACTGATGCTGTGCAAACCACGAGACCTTACTTTATGATTCTTTGCTCGTCATGTCTCATTTATGCACTTGGCTTGTCCAGTGCAGCAAGGGAAAAACAGCAAATTAAGAGGAGGGCATTTGTCTTTTACTTAGATAATCTTACATGTTTTATGGGTAAAATATCAGTTATGATTAAAATGCGACACTGGAAACTAGGTTTGAAGGTTAATAGCCAAGGAGAAAGCACAGCTGCAGGTTGCCTGGTTGCTGACCTTGGTCTGTGTCTGGTGTTACAGGCTACCCTGTGCTCTATGAAGGGCTGCATGAGGGCGCTTGTGGCCCAGCTGAAATCCGAAAGCGAAGACTTGCAGCAGGTACTACTGAGCATTTCAGATGATTTATTTTGGTATTTAATGTCCTGATTTAGATTAAGCTCTGACTCTGTATTTGGTATCTTGTATGTAAAATGTACTTCCATTAATACTAGAAAAAAGTAAAAATAATTATTTTGTAGGAATCGCTTCTGGCACTCTAGTAAGTAGCATTTAAAGAATTTATTTGTAGAGTTCTACTTTTATCTGTATCATTAAAAAAGGAGCAACTAGTATGAGTCATTTTGTACACAGACTATTTTAAAATGGATTCATTTGCAGGTTATTGCAAGTGTTCTGAGGAATTTGTCTTGGCGAGCAGATGTAAACAGTAAGAAGACGTTGCGGGAAGTTGGAAGTGTGAAAGCATTGATGGAATGTGCTCTGGAGGTTAAAAAGGTACCTTTGAAGACACGGAGTACTGTAATAAAGACTTCTACTTTGGCTACTTTGGGTTGCTAATTTCTAAGCTGTCTGTCTCAGCACTGCATGGAGTCAGAATAGTGCCGGCTCCCGGAGTACTAAGGCAGGATAAATCACCAAGGTGGTTTAGAGTGAGCTGTAGTTTCTCAGCCTCAGCGCTGTAGACATTTGGGACCAGGTAGCTCTCTGTGTGGCCCGGGAGTGGGGGAGTCACTGATCGCCCTGTTTTAAGATATTTGCTGGCATCCTTTGCCAATACACCCTCCCTCCAGTTACGAACATCACAAGTGTCTCCAGGTATTACCAGCTGTCAGCCCAGTTGAAGACAACTAGTCTGTCACACCTGTGCTCTCCAAATCTTAGTCTTCCATAGTCCTCAAATTGTACTGGTGATCAGATCCAGGGTGTGAAGTCTCGAAGTAGTAATTTGCCTGCAAAAGGAAGTATCTCCAGGACGAGCGTCTGTTCCAGAAACGAAACTACATTTAAGGAAACAAAAGAAACATGAACTTGAAATCTGAGAGAGACCAAGCAAGTGTTCTTAGGTAGTCTAGGCTTCCTTTCACCCACCAGTCCTTCTGGGCCACAGCCAGGGCTGGGCCAGGCCAAAGCCAGGATCTCCCATGTGGGCGGCAGGGACCCAAGCACTTGAGACACCACCTACTGCCTCCGAGGCACAGTAGCAGGAAGCTGGATCCGAAGTAGAGGAGCTGGGACTGAGCTAGCACTGCAGTAGGGGATACAGATGTCACAAGCAGTGGCTTAACCACAACACCCACCCTGCCTACAATTTCTTCAAGACTTTTGTTTTCAGAGAAGGCAGAGTTTTGTTTTTTGTTACTGTTTTAAATGTATTTTTGGTAAAGCATATTATTTTATACCTGGAAAACCTTTGACATTTTATTAGATAGAAACACAGTGGGTGACTGTAGTTCCCAGTAAGTATTGCATACTAAATGAAGAACTGGAAGAGAGGCAGTGAGGGAATGTCAGCACGGAGGAAGGCTGGGGAGGTGGGGCGCTGACTGCCTTGTGTGGCCCACAGGCACCACACACATGTGTTGAATTAGCACACCAGACCCCGTAATGGTGTGCAAGTACAGCACGTTAACCAGTTCGGGTATACTTACTGACTGAGCAGAAGACTTGGACTTATCCTTCAGCTAAGATCTGAGTGACTAGTAAGCACTGGGAAAGGCCTCAGCCTCGTTAGTCATCAGACATGCAAATTAGAACTACAGTGAGGTATATTACACATATCATATTGGTTAAAATGAAAGATGCACCAAGTGTTAACAAGGATGCAGGGCAACTAGAATTCTTACGGGAAAGGGAAATGGTATAACCACTTGGACAGTGTTTTTGAGTTAAACACATACCTGCCCTATAACCTGCCATTTCACTCCTGAGTATTTACAAGAGAAAGACTTAGGTTCACACACAGAGTTATATACAAATGGTTTATTGTGTTTTTATTTGTGATAGCCAAAAACTAATGGCAAACAAATTGTAGAATATCTGTATAATGGTAGAGATTCATCTAGCAATGTTTACTCTAAGACCAGTATTGAAAGAGCTAGCCAATCAGAAATTTGTAGCATCCAATTCTGATTTGGTCCTGCACTGGTTAACCATATCAGAACTTATTTGCTCTCTTTTTCTACATCAGTGCAGCAGTCATTATGGAGATTCTCATTCTCATTGTAATTTATCATCTCTTCCCTCTAAATGTCATTTGCTGTTGGCCAGGAGCGTTGGAGCTGCCTTCCACCTGCCTGGCGAGGTCCATGTCAGTGACAGCCTGGGCTGACAGCTGCTTCCTCCACTGCAGCTGTGCCCAGGCCTTGCAGTTCACTCACGGCTGTTAGGGCCCTGCCCTTCTTCCACATCTTCTCTCTTGGAGCCCTTCTTTCTGTTTCAATTCTAAGAAGCCTAATATTTTGAAAATGAAAATAAAAATTAGCCTGTGGCTGTTTCTTATACAGCAGTGTTCTCTTTTCCTCTAATAACCAAAGCCCTGAACAAAGTTGCTTGCTTCATTTTTCTTTTTTTCCCTCTTTTTATTATATTTATATTTTTTAGTTTTAAAATTTAACAATATTTTTAACATTTTGCCACATTCATTTCAAATGTAGACATTATATATATATATACATATAAATCCTATTTTTTGTTGAAAACAGGTATTAATACCACAAAGTTGAGGGATCATAATGTAGGGAAAGTAGGGTAGATTGTCATGTACATGGTATGATTCAATAAAGTGCTCTTTATAACTGTATACCAAATGATATGACATCCAAATGATTTTTATACTCTCTCTATATATATTAACTTCCACAAATAAGAGATATCTTTCTAGGTCTTATTTCACCTTAGCATAATCTCCAGTTCTATCCATTTTGTTGCAAATGTCAAGATTTCATTCTTTCTGTGGCTGAGTAATATTCCATTTTGTGTATATACCACATTTTCTTTATCCAGTCATCAGTTGATGGACATCTAGGTTGATTCCTTTTCTACGCTGTTGTGAGTTGAGCTGCTCTAAATGTGGAAGTGCAGGTAACTCTTCTGTAATGCTGATTCATTTCAGATTTCTGGGGAATCTCCACACTGTCTTGCATAATGGTTGTACCAGTATGCACTTCCACCAGCAGTGTATCATGGTACCATTTTCTCCACATCCTTGTCAGCATTTGTTAGTTTTTGATTTTTGGGTGATAGCCATTCTGACAGGAGTAAGATGATACCTCATTGTGGTTTTGATTTGCATTCCCTAATGGCCAGTGATCCTGAGCATCTTTTCATGTGTCTGTTGGCCATTTGTATTTCATCCTTTTTTTTTTTTTTTCTAAGATGTATTTATTTATTTGAAAGGCAGAGTTACAGAGAGAGAGGGACAGAAATAGAGCTCTTCTATCCACTGGGTCACCCCCAGATGATTGTAATGGCTGGGCTGGGCCAGGCTGAAGCCAGGAGCCAGGAGCATCATGCAGGTCTCCCACATGGGTGCAGGGGCCCAATCACTTGGCCCATCTTCTGCTGCATTCCCAGGTGCATCAGCACAGATAAAGATCAGAAGTGGAGCAGCCAGGACTCCAACCCGTGCCCATATGGGACACCAGGGCATTGTAGGCAGCTGCTTGACCTATTGCACCACAACACCAGCCCCTATGTTTATTCCTTTGTTCATATCTTTTGCTCATTTCTTAACTGTATTGTTTATTTTGTTGTTGAGCTTCTTACGTATAACCTGGACAGTAATCCTTTATCAGGTGCATAGTTTGCAGATGTTTTCTCCCATTCTGTCAGTTGCCTCTATGTTCATTTTCTCTTGCTGTCCAGAAGCTTATTAGCTTGATGTAATCCTGCTTATCTTTTTGCTTTATTACCTGTGCTTCTGGGGTCTCATCCAGAAAGTCTGCATTGCTTCATTTCCTAACTGGCTGTGCATCTCAGTCTCCCCAGTTCTGCCTCTAGCACAACCCTTTCCTAGCTCGTAGGACCCACATAGGCAGATTGACTTGGGTTTTCTTTTCTGATTCCACCTGTATTTTATACTTTCCTGTTACCTACCTTACTGAAACTCCTCTCCTTGCTTTTATTGTATGTACTCAGATTTCCAACCTTTAATCATTACTTCCTGCCTCTAGTTAAACTATAAAATTTGTTTTTTGTTAATTTTGAAAATCTTTTCCCAAAAAACCTTTTATTTAAGGCATACAAATTTTATGCTTTTCATAAATACAGCTTTAGGAATATAGTGATTCTTCCCACCCTCCCACCCCCACTCCAACCCCTCTTCCTCCTCCCTCTCCTATTCCCATTTTTATTTGATAAAACTTCTTTAAAACAAACCCCTTAGTCCTAGACATACAGTCTCCTAGAGAACAACTTGTATAGTTCTCTGTCAGCTCTCACCTCTAGGCCAGTTGCAGTTTATAATTCTTCTAAGTTCTGCCATTGTTCATTATTCTGTGGATACCTGGAATGCCGGACCTTGACCTCAGTCCCAGAGTCATTAAATGAAACTCTTACCCTAATCGCATCCGTGTGGTGGAGAGTGCTTCCCCCTTGCCTCCTGCCTTTCTCTGATGAAGTGCCTGTCTATGCCTGCACTAGATTGAGTCAGTCCTTGAATTTCTTGATGAAGAGAATGAAGCAGCCAGTTATTCCTGGGTTAGTCCCAAAACGTTCAGCGTGGCACTCGTCTGGATTTGCCCTCTTGCCTCTTCCCAGCAGGGATTTGGACCCCTTTTGTGCCTTTGTGTTGAGCAGACCCTCGTTGCTGAACCCCACTGCCCTCCCAAGAACAGCGTTTTCTCTCTGAATATACAGGTCTTGACCTGCAGAGCTAGTCTCCTTGAAATATTCTATTTATTTTATTAAATTCAATCTGCAGTAATCTTTCCTTTAGAGCACATTGTTTGATGTATGTTTTGTAATTTTTTAAAATATTATTTATTTATTTGAAAGAGTTACAGAGAGAGAAAAACAGAGAGATCTTCCATCTACCAGTTCACTCTCCAGATGGCTGCAATAGCCAGAGCTGGGCCAGGCCAGAGCCAGGAGCTAGGAGCTTCTTCCAGGTGTCTCATGTTGGTGGCAGGAGTTCAAGGACTTGGACCATCTTCTGCTGTTTTTTCCAGGCAATAAGCAGAGAACTGGATTAGAAGTGAAGTGGCCAGGACTCAAACCAGCACCCATATGGAATGCCCACTACACTACAACACAAAGCCAGTCCCTTGTATCTTTTTTTTTTTTTCCCCATCAAAAGTAAATCGTTGGGGGCTGGCACTGTGGCACAGTGGGTAAAGCCACTGCTTGCAGTGCCAGCATCCCATGTAGGCACCAGTTCGAGTCCTAGCTGCTGCAGTTCCAATCTAGCTCTTTGCTATGGCCTGGGAAAGCAGTGGGCCTCTGCACCCATGTGGGAGACCCAGAGAAAGTTCCTGTCCCTGGCTTCGGATTGCGGCCATCTAGGGAGTGAACAATGGAAGACACTCTCTCTCTCTGCCTCTGCCTCTCTGTAACTTTTCCTTTAAAATAAATAAATAAATATTTTTTTTAAAGAAATTGTTGGGACTCACTTTGTGGCTTAGCAGGTAAAGCTGCCATGTGCACCACTGGCTTCCCATATGGGTGCCGGTTCAAGTCTGGGCTGCTCCACTTCAGATCTACCTCCTTGCTAATGTGTCTGGGAAAGCAGAATAAGATGACCTGAGTCCTTGGGCCCCCACACCCACATGGAAGGCTCAGAGGAAGCTCCTGACTCCTGGCTGCAGACTGACCTAGCTCCAGCTGTTGCCACCATTTGGAGAGTGAACCAGCAGATAGAACATCTCTCCATCTCCTCTCTGTAACTCTGCCTTTCAAATAAATAAATTTTTTTAAATGTAAATTGTTGGCATTTCAAAGCAGGTGTCAGTTTGCTGTGTTTATTTCTCCTGGAGTGCTTTTAACTGATAGAAAAGTAGATTTTTTAAAATGTTTGTTCTTAGTTTAATAATAGGTAGTAGGAAAGAGTAACATCAGGATCATGGCAAGTTTTTTGTATTATTTTTAAGATTTTATTTATTTGAGAGACAGAGAGAAAGGTCCTGCATCTGCTGGTTCATTCCCCAAGTGGCCATAACAGCTGGAGCTGGGCCAATCCGAAGCCAGGATCCAGGAGCTTCTTTCAGGTCTCCCACATGGGTGTAGGGGCCCAAGCACTTAGGCCATCCTCCATTACTTTCCTAGTCTATTAGCAGGGAGCTAGTTCAGAAGAGGAGCATTTGGGCCACAAACCAGCACTCATATGGGATGCTGGCACTGCAGGCATAGGATTAGCCTGCTATGCCACAGCGCTGGCCCCCAAGGCAAGTTTTGACCCAATACCTTTAATTGAGAATTTGAATGTTCCTATGGCACTTTGACAGTTTACTATGATAATATAAAGGAGTTCTAGTTTTTTGTTAATTACTTTGTCTCATTATCAGTTTTAAGAAATTAGTTTTTTCAGTATCCTTTCTTCTTTTAACGAGGTACATTTTTACTTTTGAATTAATCACATATAGGTGCGTGTGTGTGTTCTAATCAGAATATTGTATATACTGCTTTTCAACTTGCTCTTGTCATTTAATAATAATTCTTATATATCTTCCCTTTATGATATATAGAGGAGTTTTTCAAAGTCCAGTTTTTATTATCCTAAAGGTATTTTTTTCAAAATGCATCATCAATTGGGTCTCATATTCTAATATAAGTTCTTTTAAGATATCTTCTTTTAACTAAACAGTTAAAATGAAGGCCATTAATTTAATGTTGTGTTTGCTTATTTTATAGGGATATCACTGACTTCAATTCCATTTGGTATTTTATGGACGTTTTTCTAAGTAGAATGTACCTAATAATTTTGCAGTGAAGGGTGAAGTAGGGAAAATTAAAAATTTTTTTTTGTTCAGTGGTTTCGAAAGACAAATTCCAACTCTAATTAGATGAATCATATTCTATTTCTTAATAGGAATCAACCCTCAAAAGTGTATTGAGTGCCTTATGGAATTTGTCAGCACACTGCACTGAGAACAAAGCTGATATATGCGCTGTAGATGGTGCACTGGCATTTTTGGTTGGCACACTCACTTACCGGAGCCAGACGAATACGTTAGCCATTATTGAAAGTGGAGGTGGGATATTACGCAATGTGTCCAGCTTGATAGCTACAAATGAGGACCACAGGTACATGCAGAGTTTCATGTTACTTTTAAATCAATTACTCTAGAATTTATACCCTCAAAAAGATTGTCATTACAAAAGTTCCAAACCAAAAAAATCTGTTTATTATGAAAAGATAGCTATTAACTCCTGTTTATCTCATTAGTGTACTTTAGTGAAAGCTCATAATATCATAAAGTAGTCTCAAACATACCGCCATATATAAGGGAAAAAATAAAAGTGACAAATATTAGAATAAAATCCCTTACTATTTATTAGTATGGCATAAAGAAATATGAGAATTATTTTAAAACAAAAATTATGAGCAGGATCCAGAAAGTTCTCATTTTTCTAATGATGTGTTAACATCAGTAATCATAGCATTATTTGGCCACTAGCCATTCCTCCAGTTGACTCAAGCTGTGAGACCTGAGCAAGCCTGCAGACACAGGGCACACGTTTTCAGAACTTGTGCTTTGTGTTATATCAACAGAAACATTGGTGTCTTTCACAGCTTATTTGTTTTTAAAATTTACCCAATATTGTTCCTCAAAAAGAGCACGAGGTTCTTTCTTTTCTGTAAGTTTTGAACCACCAAGCCTGCAGTCCTTCCAGCTATGCAGAGGAGACTCCTCACACTCAGTGGGAGCTCACTTGACAGCCGGACTGCGAGGAGAAGCCCGCCGCGTGAAGGCTACCGTGCAGTCAGTCACACAGCGCACTGAAGCAGAGTGTGCTGTGGTTAAACTTGTGCTCACTGTGCATTAAAGAAGCTGTAGCTCCTTTCAGGTCCCAGAGTTCATTGGGCTGATTCTCAACTCTTGTTTTTACATTACTTATGTTTTAAAAGCTTCACTCACTTTATTTTTTAAAATGACTACACATAGAATGTGACAGAACATACTTGTGAGGAGCATGGCAGTCCCACAGAGTCAAGCCAGAGACATGGAAATTATTCTAAAAAGTGGGACTGTTGATCTAGGAGCTTCCGGTGTGTTCCTTGGCCCCGTAAAGATCTGTCAGTTCCATTTCCTTCTTCTAAGATGACTCAGTAGTCAGCACTGAGGCCCCCGTGCATATGTGAGATTATCATGGGACTCCTGTCCAGCACAAGATTCAGTGATCTGTTGGTAATATATAAATCAGGAACCTGTTACTGTGTGGGAAGAGTAAATGTGCTGCCCCCCGCAAAACTGTTAAAGCTGTTGGATCAGAACAGGAAACGCAGGGTGTATTCTAAATGTAACACTTCTGCTGCTTTTAGTCCGGGAGGTATATGCTTTAAAGCAGTGAACATTAAACGGACTAATAAAAGAGATGTGGAATGCTTAGAATTTGTAGGATAATTAGTACAATCATATTATGCCTATCAAGTGTTAGTAGTTTATTTTTTATTTTTTGTTACTACGCTCAGATTTTTTACCTTAATTTTATATTCTTTTGTTTTCACTTCAGGCAAATCCTAAGAGAGAACAACTGCCTACAAACCTTATTACAACACTTGAAATCTCATAGTTTGACAATTGTCAGTAATGCATGTGGAACTTTGTGGAATCTCTCGGCAAGAAATCCCAAAGACCAGGAAGCATTATGGGACATGGGAGCAGTTAGCATGCTCAAGAACCTCATTCATTCAAAGCACAAAATGATTGCTATGGGAAGTGCTGCAGCTTTGAGGAATCTCATGGCAAATAGACCTGCAAAATATAAGGATGCCAATATTATGTCTCCTGGTTCAAGCTTGCCATCTCTTCATGTTAGGAAACAGAAAGCCCTAGAAGCAGAATTAGATGCTCAGCATTTATCAGAAACTTTTGACAATATTGACAACTTGAGTCCCAAGGCATCTCATCGCAGTAAGCAGAGACACAAGCAGAGTCTTTACGGTGACTATGTATTTGATGCTAGTCGACATGATGATAATAGGTCAGACAATTTTAATACTGGAAACATGACTGTCCTTCCACCATATCTGAATACAACAGTGTTGCCCAGCTCCTCTTCATCAAGGGGAAGTTTAGATAGTTCTCGTTCTGAAAAAGATAGAAGTTTGGAGAGAGAAAGAGGAATTGGCCTAAGCAGCTACCATCCAGCAACAGAAAATCCAGGAACCTCTTCAAAGCGAGGTTTGCAAATCTCTACCACTGCAGCCCAGATTGCCACAGTCATGGAGGAAGTCTCGGCCATTCATACCTCCCAGGAAGACAGAAGTTCTGGGTCTACCACTGACTTGCATTGTGTGCCTGATGAGAGGAACGGGCTGAGAAGAAGTTCTGCCCACACTCATTCCAATGCTTACAATTTCACTAAGTCAGAAAATTCAAACAGGACATGTTCTATGCCTTACACCAAACTAGAATATAAGAGATCTTCAAATGACAGTTTAAATAGTGTCAGTAGCAGTGATGGTTATGGTAAAAGAGGTCAAATGAAACCCTCAATTGAATCATATTCTGAAGATGACGAGAGTAAATTTTGCAGTTATGGTCAATATCCAGCTGACCTAGCCCATAAAATACACAGTGCAAATCACATGGATGATAACGATGGAGAGCTTGATACACCAATAAATTACAGTCTTAAATATTCAGACGAGCAGTTGAATTCTGGAAGGCAGAGTCCTTCACAGAATGAAAGATGGGCAAGACCCAAACACATAATAGAAGATGAAATAAAGCAGAATGAGCCACGACAGTCAAGGAGTCAAAGTACAGCTTACCCTGTGTATGCCGAGAACACTGATGAGAAGCACCTCAAGTTCCAGCCACATTTTGGACAGCAGGAATGCGTTTCTCCGTACAGGTCCAGGGGAACCAGTGGGTCAGAAGGAAATCGAGTGGGTTCTAATCATGCAGTTAATCAAAATGTAAACTCGTCCTTGTGTCAGGAAGATGACTATGAAGATGATAAACCAACCAACTATAGTGAACGTTACTCTGAGGAAGAACAGCATGGAGAAGAAGAAAGACCAACAAATTATAGCATGAAGTATAATGAAGAAAAACACCATGTGGATCAGCCTATTGATTATAGTTTAAAATATACCACTGACATTCCTTCCTCACAGAAGCCACCATTTTCATTTTCCAAGAGTTCCTCTGCACAAAGCACTAAAAGTGAACACATCCCTGCAAGCAGTGAGAATACAGCTACCCCTTCGTCTACCACCAAGAGGCAGAATCAGCTCCACCCGACTTCAGCACAGAGTAGAAATGCTCAGACCCAAAAAGCTACCACCTGCAAAGTTCCCTCTATCAACCAGGAAACAATACAGACATACTGTGTGGAAGACACCCCGATATGTTTCTCACGGTGCAGTTCATTATCATCTTTGTCGTCAGCTGAAGATGAAATAGGGTGTGATCAGACAACACAGGAAGCAGTTTCCACTAGTACTCTGCAGATAGCAGAAATAAAGGAAAACAGTGGAGCTAGATCCACAGAAGATCCTGTGAGTGAAGCTCCAGCAGTGTCCCAGCATGTAAGAACCAAATCCAGCAGACTCCAGGCTTCTGGTTTGTCCTCAGAATCAGCCAGACATAAAGCTGTTGAATTACCTTCAGGGGCCAAGTCTCCCTCCAAAAGTGGTGCTCAGACCCCCAAGAGCCCACCAGAGCACTATGTTCAGGAGACTCCACTCATGTTCAGCAGATGCACATCTGTCAGTTCACTGGATAGCTTTGAGAGTCGTTCTATTGCCAGCTCCGTGCAGAGTGAGCCATGCAGTGGAATGGTGAGTGGCATTATTAGCCCCAGTGACCTTCCTGATAGCCCTGGACAAACCATGCCACCAAGCAGAAGTAAGACCCCTCCACCACCTCCTCAGGCAGTTCAAACCAAGCGAGAGGTACCCAAAAATAAAGTTCCAACTGCAGAAAAGAGAGAGAGTGGACCTAAGCAGGCAGCTGTGAATGCTGCGGTTCAGAGGGTCCAGGTTCTCCCAGATGCGGATACATTATTACATTTTGCCACAGAAAGTACTCCAGATGGATTTTCTTGTTCATCTAGCCTGAGTGCTCTGAGCCTTGATGAGCCATTCATACAGAAAGATGTGGAGTTAAGAATCATGCCTCCAGTTCAGGAAAATGACAATGGAAACGAAACAGAACCAGAGCAGCCTGAAGAATCAAATGAAAGCAAGGAGAAGGAGGCAGAAAAGCCTACCGATTCCGAAAAAGATCTGTTGGATGACTCAGATGATGATGATATCGAAATACTTGAGGAATGTATTATTTCTGCCATGCCAACAAAGTCATCACGCAAAGCTAAAAAGCTAGCCCAGACTGCTTCAAAACTGCCACCACCCGTGGCAAGGAAACCAAGCCAGCTGCCTGTGTACAAACTTCTGCCATCACAAAACAGGTTACAAGCACAGAAGCACGTTAGTTTTACCCCAGGGGACGATATGCCACGGGTGTACTGTGTAGAAGGGACACCCATAAACTTCTCCACAGCCACATCTCTCAGTGACCTCACAATAGAATCTCCTCCAAACGAGCTAGCTGCGGGAGAAGGGAGTGGAGCAGGGGCGCGGTCGGGCGAATTTGAAAAGCGAGACACCATTCCCACGGAAGGCAGGAGCACCGATGAGGCACAGAGAGGGACTGCCTCGGCGGTGGCGATGCCCGAGTTGGATGACAATAAAACGGAGGAAGGTGACATTCTTGCTGAATGCATCAACTCTGCTATGCCCAAAGGAAAAAGTCACAAGCCTTTCCGTGTGAGGAAGATAATGGACCAGGTCCAGCAAGCATCTGTGTCTTCATCCGGCGCTAACAAAAATCAGTTAGACGGTAAGAAAAAGAAACCCACTTCCCCAGTAAAACCTGTGCCACAGAGCACTGAATACAGAGCACCTGTGAGAAAAAACACAGACTCGAAAAATAATTTAAATGCTGAAAGAACTTTCTCAGACAATAAAGATTCAAAGAAACAGAACTTGAAAAACAATTCCAAGGACTTCACCGATAAGCTGCCAAATAATGAAGATCGAGTCAGAGCAAGTTTTCCTTTTGATTCGCCTCATCATTACACACCTATTGAAGGAACTCCTTACTGTTTTTCACGAAATGATTCTTTGAGTTCTCTAGACTTTGATGATGACGATGTTGACCTTTCCAGGGAAAAGGCTGAATTAAGAAAGGGGAAAGAAAATCAGGACTCAGAAGCTAAAGCTGCTGGCCACACAGAGATGACTTCAAACCAGCAATCAGCTAACAAGACACCAGCTACCACTAAACACCCAGTAGGTCGAAGTCAGCAGAAGCAATCTACTTTTCCCCAGCCATCCAAAGACATACCAGACAGAGGGGCAGCAACGGACGAGAAATTACAGAATTTTGCTATTGAAAATACTCCAGTTTGTTTTTCTCGTAATTCCTCTCTGAGTTCTCTCAGTGACATTGACCAAGAAAACAACAACAAAGAAAATGAACCTATCAAAGAAAACGAGCCCCCTGACTCACAGGGAGAACCGAGTAAACCTCAGGCATCAGGTTATGCCCCTAAGTCCTTTCATGTGGAAGATACACCTGTCTGTTTCTCAAGAAACAGCTCTCTGAGTTCCCTTAGTATTGATTCTGAAGATGATCTGCTGCAGGAATGCATAAGTTCTGCAATGCCCAAAAAGAAAAAGCCCTCAAGACTGAAGGGTGAGAATGAAAAGCAGAGTCCCAGAAACATAGGAGGTGTCTTAGCTGAGGATTTGACACTGGATTTGAAAGATATACAGAGACCAGATTCAGAACATGGGTTATCCCCGGATTCAGAAAATTTTGACTGGAAAGCTATTCAGGAAGGTGCGAATTCCATAGTGAGTAGTTTACATCAGGCTGCTGCTGCTGCATGCCTGTCCAGGCAGGCTTCGTCAGACTCAGATTCCATCCTTTCACTGAAATCGGGAATCTCACTGGGATCACCATTTCACCTTACACCTGACCAAGAGGAAAAACCCTTCACAAGTAACAAAGGCCCACGGATTCTAAAACCTGGTGAGAAAAGTACCTTGGAAACTAAAAAAATCGAATCTGAAAATAAAGGAATCAAAGGAGGAAAAAAGGTTTACAAAAGTTTGATTACTGGGAAAGTTCGATCTAATTCAGAAGTTTCAGGCCAAATGAAGCAGCCCCTTCCACCAAACATGCCTTCAATCTCTCGCGGTAGGACAATGATTCATATTCCAGGAGTTCGAAATAGCTCCTCAAGTACAAGTCCTGTTTCTAAAAAAGGCCCGCCCCTTAAGCCTCCAGCCTCTAAGAGCCCTAGTGAAGGTCAGACGGCTACCACTTCTCCTAGAGGGGCCAAGCCATCAGCAAAGACAGAATTAAGTCCTGTTCCCCGCCAGACATCCCAAACAGGCGGGTCAAACAAAGGATCTTCCAGGTCAGGCTCTCGAGATTCCACTCCTTCAAGACCTTCCCAGCAACCACTGAGTAGACCTATGCAGTCTCCAGGGCGCAACTCAATTTCCCCTGGCAGAAACGGAATAAGTCCTCCTAACAAACTATCTCAACTGCCGAGGACGTCCTCCCCCAGTACTGCTTCAACCAAGTCCTCAGGTTCTGGGAAAATGTCCTACGCATCCCCAGGCAGGCAGATGAGCCAGCAGAACCTTACAAAACAAACAGGTTTGTCCAAGAATGGCAGTTGTATCCCAAGAAGTGAGTCTGCCTCCAAAGGACTGAATCAGATGAACAATGGCAACGGAGCCAATAAGAAGGTGGAACTTTCTAGAATGTCTTCAACTAAATCAAGTGGAAGTGAATCTGATAGATCAGAGAGACCTGTGTTAGTACGCCAGTCAACTTTCATCAAAGAAGCCCCAAGCCCAACCCTAAGAAGGAAACTGGAAGAATCTGCTTCATTTGAGTCTCTTTCTCCATCTTCCAGACCAGATTCTCCCACAAGGTCCCAGGCTCAAACTCCAGTGTTAAGTCCTTCCCTTCCTGATATGTCTCTGTCCACACACTCATCTGTTCAGGCTGGTGGGTGGCGGAAACTCCCACCTAATCTCAGTCCCACTATAGAGTATAATGATGGCAGACCCGCAAAGCGTCATGACATAGCACGCTCCCATTCAGAAAGTCCTTCCAGACTTCCCGTCAACAGGTCGGGAACCTGGAAACGGGAGCACAGCAAACACTCATCATCCCTCCCTCGAGTAAGCACATGGAGAAGAACTGGAAGTTCCTCTTCAATTCTTTCTGCATCGTCAGAATCCAGTGAAAAAGCAAAAAGTGAGGATGAAAAACATGTAAACTGTATTTCAGGAACCAAGCAAAATAAAGAAAACCAAGTGTCCACAAAAGGCACATGGAGGAAAATAAAAGAAAATGAAATTTCCCCCCCAAACAGTACTTCTCCGACCACGTCCTCAGGTGCTGCAAATGGTGCTGAATCAAAGACTCTGATTTATCAAATGGCACCTGCTGTTTCTAAAACAGAGGACGTTTGGGTGAGGATTGAGGACTGTCCCATCAACAACCCCAGAACCGGAAGATCTCCCACAGGTAATACTCCCCCTGTGATCGACAGTATTTCAGAAAAGGGAAATCCAAACGGTAAAGATTCAAAAGATAATCAGGGAAAACAAAATGTGGGTAACGCCAGTGCACCCACGAATACCATGGGTTTGGAAAACCGTCTGAACTCCTTTATTCAGGTTGATGCCCCAGACCAAAAAGGAGCTGAGATGAAACCGGGACAGAGTAATCCTGTCCCTACATCCGAGACTACCGAGAGCTCCTTAGCGGAGCGCACCCCATTCAGTTCCAGCAGCTCCAGCAAACACAGTTCACCTAGTGGGACTGTGGCTGCCAGAGTGACTCCTTTTAATTACAACCCCAGCCCTAGGAAAAGCAGCGCAGATAGCACTTCAGCCCGGCCGTCTCAGATCCCAACGCCAGTGAATAACAACACAAAGAAACGAGATTCAAAAACCGACAGCACAGAGTCCAGTGGAACCCAAAGTCCCAAGCGCCATTCCGGATCTTATCTTGTGACGTCTGTGTGAGAGAGTTGGGACGATGAAGCTAGGAGTTCACGCGCTCATTTACATGCTAGATAGAAATCCTGTTTCAAATGAAACTAAAAGACTGAAAAATTTTGTAAATAGGTTTGATTCTTGTTGGAGGGTTTTTGTTCTGGAAGCCATATTTGATAGTATACTTTGTCTTCACTGGTTGTTATTTTGGGAGGCACTCTTGATAGTTAAGAAAAAAAATGGTAAAGCCAAGTATATTTGTACAGTATGTTTTACAAGTATTTAAGTAGAATATCATCCCATCATCCTTTAATTATTGCTTGTCTTAAAATAACACTACATAGAAAATATGATATATTGCTGTTATCAATCATTTCTAATTATAAACTGACTAAACTTACATCAGGGAGAAATTGGTATTTATGCAAAAAAAAAAGTTTTAGTCCTTGTGAATCCATCTAATGTCATAACTAATCATGTGGCTGTGAAATTCACAGAAATATGGTTCCCGGTGAACAAGTTTACCCAGCCTGCTTTGCTTTATTGCATGAATGAAACTGATGGTTCAATTTCAGAAGTAATGATTAACAGTTCTGTGGTCACATGATGTGCATAGATAGCTACAGTGTAACAATTTACACTATTTTGTGCTCAAAACAACAACAGAAATCTGTGTAACTGTAAAACATTGAATGAAACTATTTTACCTGAACTAGATTTTATCTGAAAGTAGGTAGAATTTTTGCTATGCTGTATCTTGTTGTATATTCTGGTATTTGAGGTGAGATGGCTGCTCTTTTATTAATGAGACATGAATTGTGTCTCAACAGAAACTTAAAAGGACATTTCAGAATAAATTATTGCTGTATGTAAACTATGACTGAAATTGGTATTTGTTTGAAGGGTCCTATTTCACATTTGTATTAATAATTGTCAAAAGACCTCTTTAAAAAGCTTATATAAAATTTTTTCCTCTGATTCTATGCATTAAGAGTAAAATTCCTCTTACTGTAATAAAAACAATTGAAGAAGACTGTTAGCACTTAACCACTCCTGAAATTTACTTCTCTTGATTGATTAGCACTTCCAGGTATGGAATACTTTTTCCCTTTCTGTTACATTATCTGACTCCACTGGATCTCAGTGACAATGAATTCATGCCATAGTGGTGTGATCTGCCCCACATGGGATCAGGCATTGAACATCAAAGGCCACGCAGAACTTCCTTTTTCGTAATAGAATTCTGTGCCTGAAAAATTACTCTTGGGCACAAGTGGTCCCTTTACAGTGTGACCGTCTTGCCCCTTCCTAATCCCCATATTGTCACTGGGTCTGAAGTGAACACCTCTTACCACTCTGTGTGTTATGGCAAAGCACCCACCGCCAGGTAAAGCCAGCGTGTTACCATGCTCAGAGAATACAGCCCCATGCGACATAAGGGTAGATTTGCTACCTAGCTAATATACTCAGCAGAAGAATCTAAATTCTCTGTTAAGGAGAGCTCTCTGTTTCAGTGGGTACAGTTGCAGGGTGTGTTTCAAGTGCCTCTCTGGCTGGAAGAGGCCTCCTTTAAGAACAGAGTGGTGCAGTTGTTAACAAAGATAATTTACATATTATATATTCCCTGGATTTGCTGTCCAAGGTTGGAGGGTCACCATGATGATAAATGCTCACATTTGTTGAATAATTGGGAGAATTTATTTTTAAAGATAAAGATCTGCAGTCTGTACTCAGGAAGGGAACAAACTCTTAGGAGTGGTGGAGCACCGGGAAGAGGAGGGGGAAAGGACGACTCACACCTCGCTGGTGCCCTGGAGGCCTATCCTGTAATACCTGTGCTCACAAGTTACAGATGAAGTGCCAGTCAGGAATAAGTGCTGAGATTGTAACTCGATTGTGGAGAGAGAGGGGACATTAGAATTAAGTTGCCTTTTAATCCAGTGAAAGCGGTGGGGCGTTGTCAATTCTGGAGATGAAAGAACAGTTCTCTCCCTGTGCCAGAAAAGTGAATTCCTGCAGGCAGCACCAGCGGGAGACCCCTGGGCTCCACCGCTGCGGAGGAAGCGACCACTGGAGGAGGTGACAGCCCTGGCCTAGTGAAGGGACAAATCTTAGGCCTGCTTCTGGAAGCCCACAGGACGCTTCCATGGCTGGGGGCAGGCCCTGTGGTCCCAGCTGAGGCCTGCTGTGTGTGACTAGAGGGTGGGTTAGTTCGGGGCTATAGAGGTGAGATGGAGGGCAGTGTCCTGGCTCACTCTGGGCTGCAGGACACAAATCCCGAGGCAGTGGTTTCCAAACCAGAGTGCATTTGAGTCCCCAGAATGCTTATTAAGACCTTACGGACCACATCCCCGTAGGGACTGACTCCAGGTTTGTGGAGGAGCCCACGGATGTGCGTTTCCAGCTGCCTGTTGGGAACTGAACTTGGAACCACGGGCCTGGGCTGTCCCAGGGAGCTCCCGTGCTCGCCCTCAGCTCCAGCAGTTCAGCAGCTGACGCTGCAGTCTGACAGTACACCAACAAAAAACTTCCCGCTCTAAGCAAGAGACTTGTTGAGCTTTCCAGCCCAGATAGAGCCCGTCCCGACTCCCAAGAGCAGGCAAACTTGGCAGACATGGGTAAACAGGGTCTGAAGGCTCAGCTGACGGTCCCTTTGAAGCAGTGTGTTGGAGAAAGCTGTTCAACAGCCTTCTGTGAACACCTGGGTGCACATAAGACAGAAGAAACTGACAGCTTTGGGATAGAAAAGAATGACTTCAGGTGAAGGGAAAACGTGTCCAGTTGATGAACATGCAGTGATAACCAGTTAATTGGGAATCAGATTGATGTTTGAGGATAAACTACCGATTACCAGGCACTAAAAGGAAAGGTACTGCAAGGGACAGAATGAGACGATATGAAAGTTAAGTCCCAAAAGGGTACAGTCAGGATTTCTGGGTTGTGTGCTACCCCAGATCAATCAGATGGAGGGGTGGAGTCCATTGCTGAGTTCAAGGAGCTCCCGATGCACTCTCAGAATTCCTGTGGTGGTTTCTCCCTGGGGAAGGAAAAGGGTGCCTCACCCAGAGCTGCAGAAGTAGTGAGATCATTAGACACCAAATAAAAATAATTCCTCAATTATTATTATCATGACTGAAATAGTGTATAATATTTTTCATTTCTAATAAGCCTCTCTCCTTCCTGTTGTGCTGACTAAAATAATCCTTTGTAATGCTGAAACCCATGGACTATGGCTACCCAGGTCATCTTCCTGCCATTCTCATAACTCTGTGGTCTATGAAATATATTCTGCTTTTTGTTAGACTGTTGATGCTTCTTTCAACCTGTATGTTTTATATGTACAATATTGTTCTTGGTGCTAAATACACTTTACTTTTCTCTGATATTCAGGATAATTCTTTCTCTGCATTTGTGACTATTCACTTGTTTTCTTGATGTTATATGACTGTTACTTTCATAACTAAAAATATTCAACATAATATATACTAAGCAAGGTGACCACTGACTATAATGCAACTTTAGTGGAATGTAACTACTGAAAACAATGACAGACATCACCTGCCCTATCTGCACTGCCTTTGGGAATCCAAACATTAGGCCAAACTGGCTGGTCACTGAAGCATGTGCCCACTCAGCCTTTCTCCTGGCCATTGCTGTTTGTACTAGCACTGAGTGTCTGACCTAAGAGAGACTCATCATAGGCTGGACTGTGGCTGAAGACTTGGATGGCCTGGCTTTAAAAAAAAAAAATCACCAAGCCAATCAAAGGGATTTCTGGCTGGTGGCTGAGGCCTGGACCTGAAAGATCACGCAGGGTTAGGGCTGAGATGACTATGATTGGCTTTGTGAAACAAATTAAAACAAAGCCTGCCATGGAAGAGGGAACAGGCATGGGAGACAGCAGAGACAGCAAGTGTGAGAGGGAAAAGACACTCTAGGAGTCACCTCAGGCCCTGCCTTTTCTGAGGCCTAATTCTCTATTTGAGCATTTGTGAACTAACCCTATTTTTGTCCCTGAAGTAACCTGAAACCAACAGAAAACCACAGATGCATCTTGCTGACTTCGCATTTTATTTGTGAGAGCTTTGCATCCACTAGTTTACTCCCCAGGTGCCGGTACCATTCCAGGCTGGACCAGGCTGAAGCCGGCCGCTAGGAACTCAATCCAGGTCTTCGACGTGGATAGCAGGAACAGGACTATTCTGAGCCATCACCACTGCTTCCTTGGGTCTGCATGAGCAGGAAGCTGGAGTCAGGAGCAGAGCCAGGGATCAAACCCAGGTAACCTAAGGTGGGTCGCGGGTGTCTTAAATGACAGCTTACTCAACTCAGCCAAAAGCCACCTTTGGTGAGTTTTTTAATTTCAAGGAGAAAACTTTCTAAAAGTATCAGTGCTAAGATAAGAGCAGGTTGCCTACAAAAATAAATTAGGTGGGCATCAGATTTCTCTGCAATACTGAATGCTAAGAAGAAAGAACCATGGGAAAACCCTTGCAGCATTTGGGAGGGAACAGTATTACCTGAGAATCCTCAAACAGCCAAGCTAACATACAACTTATGTGCAATACTTGAATCACTTGGGATTCTTACACCTGTTGAAAAACAAGTCCAGGGGCTGGCATTGTACAGTGGGTTAAGGTGCTGCTCAAGTCCTCAGCTGCTCCACTTCTGATCCAGCTTCCTGACAATGTGCCAGGGAAGGCAATGAAAGACTTAATCCCCTGCCAACCATATGGGAGACTGGTTTCAGCCTGGCCCAGACCTGGCTGTTGTGTGTTGTGACCATCTGGGCAATCAACCAGCAGGTGGGAGATACCTGTCTTTCTGTCACTGTGCCTTTCAAATAAATCTTAAAAAAAAGATGACCTTCTGTAAGTGACATTGAGCAGTAGTGATGTGGGTGGGTAATTGGCACAGCAGTTAAGACACCAGTTGGGACACTCACATCCCTTATCAGAGTGCCTGGGTTCAAGACCCAGCTCCATTCCTGATTCCAGCTTCCTGCTGATGCACACCGAGAGGCAGCAGTGATGGCTCAAGCCGTTGGGTCCCTGCCCCCGAGGTGGGAGACCTGGACTGAGTTGCTGGCTCCCAGTTTCAGCCTGGCCCAGAGTCTGTGTAAGAGCCGGAAAGGTTTGTAAACCACACAGTGGAAGCACCTCATCCAGCATGCAGCTACATCAGTGGAGGCTCCCAGGTGGCCCCTGAGGTCCGGGCCCTCTGCACGGGTGGACGTGGTGAGGACAGGGCAGGCTGCGTGCCTGTGGAGCTGGGGAAAGTTCTCTTTTGAATTGTGGTTTCTCCCTTGAGGAGGCTGGATTCATAAAATGTGGACTGCTCACTCCTCCGAGGTGTGTTTGCAAGTACTGGGCAAATCCTGACACCATCCTCCACTTGGGTGTTGACATTTTCCCACAGAAGGACCAAAGTAGCACTGGCTGCGTTCACATGCCGTAAAGGATTTTCAAGGAGACGGTTTAACTAGAACAGATTTCACTTAAATTCTGTTCTCCCGCCCCAAGACATAGGTAGGAATCCAGCAGGAGCTGGGTATGGACGCAGACAGATCACGGTGAACAAACGCCATGTCGTCCCTGACAGCGACAGCTTTGTTAGGTCAAGCTGATCTACTTAGCTCTGAGTATCCTAAGGTAAATCCAGAGTGTTCCACAGAAGTGGACTCTGACAGGTGGCAGATAATATTTTCAAAACTGCACCATCTCTGTCTTCCCACACGCTCCTCTGCTATGTCAGGCGGTGGCCTCGCCCTGGAATCCGAGCCAGTCCTGTGACTGCTGCACTCCACAGGATGTGCTGGAAGTGACATTCTGGGATTCCCAGGACCAGGCATTTCAAAGGCCTCGCAGCTGAGGC